CCTGTGGTAGGACCCAAAGTATATAACATTTAGTTTATGCTCTTAACAGGTTTCCTTTCTAATGGGTCAAATAGACATGCCCACAATTAAAAGACAGACTCAGCTATATTACTGATGTGAAGGGAATAGAGAAAGATGAGAAATCAGTTTTAACTGAAAGGTTTGTGGGTGTAGGGATTTTGAACTTTGAGCATGGGGCCTTTGAGGTGGTCTTTACAATAGCAAAGGCATAGAAAGTAGAAAATACAGGATAGATTTTGGGGAATGACCAACAATCATCTTGGCTTGAATGTATAGTACTGCAAACATAGTGTAGAACCAAATAGAGAAGTTTAATCTTTGTAGTGGATCTTGGGTTTTATTTTGTTGTTCCTGGGCCATGCATAGTTTTTAATCGGTAGAAGGATATGATCAGATCTGTGCTATAAGAGTGTAACTGTTGACAGTTTGAATCAAAGTGAGATGGGAGTCTTAATAATGTAGGAAGCCTCTGTAGAGAGAGATGATGAGGGTAAGAACCAGAGTTACGGAATGGAAATAATGAATTTAGAATATATTTTTAAAGATAAAATTGATAAGTAAAACATATTAAATTGAGGTTTAGGTCTGGAGAAATTGAAATGGTAATTTATGAAGATGTTCTATCTGTTGAATAAAAAAATCTTTTGTTTTTTATTCAGACATCTTCTATTTTTGTGCCTTTTAAGTATATTTTATATATTAAACTTAGTTTTGAATAATTGTTTTTGGTTAGATTAAATTGTTGTTAAGTCTTGTTTTCATATTGAGGGGCGCCTGGCTGCCTCAGTTAGAAGAGAATGCAACTCTTGATCTTGGGGTTATGAGTTTGAGCACCCCATTGAGTGTAGAGATTACCTAAAAAATAAATCTTAAAAAAGAGAGTCTTGTTTTCATATTGAATAAATGGTTTTTATTTTTATTTATTTATTTATTTAATGGTTTTTATTTTTAAGACACAGTTTTTTAGTTAAAACTTTTTAAATTGCAAAAATCTGGGCATGTTTAAAATATTTAAATAGTAAAGGTTTAAAGATAAAAAGAAGTCTTCCCTTAACCTAATTCTCACTTCCCTAATGGTAACCACTATTAACACTTTGTTGTGTTCAAATATCTGTGTGCACTCGTGTCTTTATGTGATTTCTATCATGCTACCTTTATAAAAGTGGGATCCAGTGTACAGTTTCTCAAAGTAGCAAAAATAGTGTGTTCATTTACATGTCCCAAATCTAGTCTTTCTCTGTAATGAGAAGCTTCTGTAATAACAAGAAGTGAAAGCATATAAACTTGAAATTACGCTTTGTAATCAATGTTTTAGCATTCTACCTTACTTAGAAATGATCTAGTAAGTCAATGATTATTCATTAGTTAATTCAATTATTTTTTAAGTTACCTTTAAAGTTCTTGAAAATTATGAGTAAGTTGACACTATTAAAACATAATTACTGTTGAAATAAAAAGCTTGTCAGAATAATCACTCAAATTATTTTTTAAAAAATATTTATTTATTTGCCAGAGAGAGAGTGCACGTGTGCGCGCACAATCAGGAGGAGTGGCAGGCAGAGGGAGAAGCAGGCTCCCCGCTGAGCAGGAAGCTGGATGCTGGGCTCATCCCAGGACCCTGGGATCATGACCTGAGCCAAAGGCACACGTTTAACCTACTCAGCCACCCAGGCGTCCCAAAATAATCATTCAATTTAAACACAGATTTACATTTTCATAATCTTAAACATTGTTGTATGAGTAAGAATGGATTATTTGATCATCAAGCATATATTTGTTTCATTAAAGTTACTCTACTGGAATAAAAATATATGCTTATGTTATATTTAACACTGATAAAAAATCAGAAGACAAACCTGCTAGTTTTGTTTGCCAGATACTTAACCTTAATTATGTGAACTTGGTTCTTAAAACCTTTCTGAGTTAGTTTCTGTAAGAATAATTTTTAAAAGTATAACACATTTAAAATATTAGATCAATTTTCTTATTTTCTGGGAATTTTGATAATCTGTATAAATGCATATTTATCTCTGTAAGCTAATCAGAACAGAGCTGCTTTAAGAGACTTTATAATCTAATTTGTTCATAACCTCCAGGGGTAGGAAAGTAATATGTACTTGGGATGAGAAATAAAAGACCTTTCTGAATTATAGATACATAGCCTTACAAACACTAAGAGAGTTTATAGTTTCCAATTCTACAATTTTAACTGTGGCTACAGAATTAACACAGAAACACAAAACCTGACCTGTCTAGATACCAAAGGGCTATTCTTCTTTCTGGTCCGTGTGAGATTCTTAATTGATTTGAGCTCAGAATAGGTAAACAGAAGAGATAAATGAACAAATCACTAATGGATCAAATTCTCCTTTTTGTCTCACCCAACACAGAATAGGTCTCTGTAAACCATCAGGGATTAGTAAATGGCAGTCCATGAAATCAAACTCTCAATCATTGTTACAAAGTAATTTTTTTTTCTGCCTGCATTCCTGGAGAATGACTTCTTTATCCATCCTTGATATTTTATTAACTTAACCTAGATATGTACTTAGATCTGTGGTTTAATTTTCCTTCTGTTCTATAGATTTTTTTTCCCCTTTATTTTAGGGATAGTTTCTCTTATGTCTACCTGCTTTTTCTCTTCTATTTGTTTAGTTATTCTGTGTCAGGGATACTAATGATCTTTACATTCAATCTCTGTCCTACATCTTCTATCTAAGTGCTCTGATATCTTTTTTTCTCCTCAATACTCAGGTTATTTTAAGACTTTTCTCCTTGCCAATTAGTTTGATTTTTAGTCTTTGGTTCTTTACTTCCTAATTGATTTCCTTAGCTGATTTTAATTTACCTGTTTTGTTTTTTTTATCTTTGAATTCTTGTATTAAATGTTTGTTCTTATTAGGTTGTTCTTTGTTACAAAGAACTCACTGGGAATTTCCTTATTTCCTTTTGTGTGTTTTCTTTCACTCTGGGTTCTTCCTTTGTTCTGCTTGCTATAGTCATTATTTGTTTCTCTCTTTCCTTCTCCTCCCTTGTTTATACAGTTGTGTGGCCATTTCTTTTTATCTTTCTAGGTAGAGACTTAACTAGCTAGATCAAGACTTGTATTTGCCCTGATAGAACATGGGTGAATTCCCATTGATTCCTTTTTCACCTTAGCTGTGATTTTGTCTCCTCCTTTTACTGCACCCCCTCAATAGACCTTTTGAGCAGTTGTATGCTGTTCTCTGTCTGCTTCTCTGTGATCGAGGGGTATAAGGTGGTGTTGTGGGAAGAACTCTTCTGGTGCTCCAAGCTCTCCTGTCTCCTTAGGTTTTGTTAAATGTCTACTAGCCTCACTCCATCCTGCTGAGGGTGTAGTGTAATTTTAGGGGCTTCAGACCCTTCCCTCAAGTCAGAATAGTGCCTTAGTAGTTGATAGGTTCTGGTCCCACTGTGCCTCAGCTGAGATTTCAGAGCTTCTGTGCTGAAGGTGTTTTCCTGGACTTTTCTATGGCATGCCAAACCAGTTTCTATCCAAACTGGAGGATGTTTACTAAAACCTTGAAGTTTTATCAACTCACCTATTTTCCCCATTACTGCTTTCAGGCAGTGTCATCAGGCTGGGAACCAGACCACATTGTACAGAATCTTTTTCTGTCCACTAGTTTTTAAAGTTTAGAGGTGCTTCAACAATTTTTGTAGCTGGTGACTTTTTGGCTAAAAATTGTATACACACACATGTATATATAATCTTTCTCTTTTATTAGTTACTGGGGATAGGAAGTTCTGAAATTCTGCTTCACCCCACCATCTTTACTTGAATGTCTGTATGATTTCCTAAATATTTACTTTTGACATAATAACATATACATACTCTAGAAACTCTCAATTTTTAAAGTATAGGGATGGCTTACTAAAAAAACAACCAACAAATTACAGTGTTGTAAGAAAATAATTTTAAAAACCGTCAGTGACCCTAAGGCATATATTTTTCTTTTATTCACATTTTGCACTTCTGTATGCTTTTGTAGAATTTTTATATAATCACAGTGAGCATATATAGTGAGCAGTAAGCATATAGCATATTATATTTCTGTTAATGTTAGGATAAACATTTTAATATTTCTATCTCATCTTTGTAATCTCATCATGTGACCATGACATATGTTATACCTTATTAAACAGTTAAATAAAGAACACTAGGTGTTTCTAGTTTTATGCTCTTGTCTGTGCATTGAACCCTTTTGTGTTTGTTGTTTTGTGTTACCTTTTAAAATAAATTTGGAAGGTTGAGATTAGTGGGCTAATCAACTTTATTAAAACCATTATACTTTTCACCATGACACCTACTGTAGTATCTATTTATTTTACCAGTTGGAAATTTTTTTGAGATAGTTGCTTAAAATGATACCTGATATCTCCACTGTTAATGTCAGAAGAATTTTTTTTTGGTGTTACTGTATTTTTTCCTACATCCTACCGTGATTTTAGTAATGAATTTTAAAAATGTATTCCAGTTTTTATAAGATCACATATGCTTTAAAAAATAACAAATCACATTTTATTTTTTAAAGGAGATAATACTATCCGAAGTGAAAAAAATAATTTGGATTGGAAATTGGAAGATGTGTTTTTTATAGAAGTGTTTCTTTTTTAAAAAATACGGTCAACATAGAACACTACATCAAAAACTAATGATGTACTGTATAGTGACTAACATAATAAAAAAAATAATCAAAATTGGCAGTCTAGTTTCATTAATTCTGGATTTTGCTATCATTATGCATAGCCTAAGTTTATAAAAGTATTTATAAAAATGTTCTTTAGTTTCTCCTAACATTAATTTATTAATTACTGCATTCAATATTTATTAAGAGCTTTGTAGGAATCATAAGTAGGTTTTGAGCTTTGCTGCATTTCATTGTCTATGAATATACTTATTATGTAATAACCCATGTAATTATGCTTATTTAGGAACCTTTAATCTACTTTTTTGTCTCCTCAGATTCTGTCAAATTTTAAGAACAAATGCATCTTATAGCTCATGGAAGAAAAAACACAAATCAAGACATTTTTGGGTTCCAAATTGCCAAAGTATGGAACAAAATCTGTGAGAAGTACACTGCAGCCAATGCCAAATGGGACCCCTGTTAATTTATTGGGAACTTCCAAGAGTAGCAACGTCAAAAGTTACATCAAAAATAATGGCTCTGATTGCCCATCATCCCATTCATTTAATTGGAGAACGGCAAGTAAATACCAGCTCAGTGCACAAAGTGTTGAAGAGCGTAACAGTACTCAAACTTCACATGATAAAGTAATTGATCCTGAAAAACATGCACCTACTCAAGGAATGTTTGATAAAAATGGGATAAAGGGAGGCTTGAAAAGTATTTCTTTACTCACATCAAAGTTAGCAAAGCCATCCACTATGTTTGTGTCATCTACAGAGGAGTTAAACCAAAAGTCTTTGTCTGGACCATCTAGTTTGGGTAAATACACCAAAGGCACATTATTAGGAAGGACTTCATATTCTTCAGTCAGTGCCCCAAAATCACAGTTGAATGGATTGTATGGGAACCGTTCAGCTGGTAGCATACAAAGGCCTAGAGCAAACTCCTGTGCCACCAGAAGCAGTTCTGGAGAAGGCTTAGCACAGTCCCTAGACAATATTAAATCTGTTACTTGTGAAAAAATGGTAAGGTCACAAAGTTTTTCACATTCCATTCAGAATTCATTCCTTCCACCTTCATCTATAACCAGATCACATTCCTTCAATAGAGCTGCAGATCTTACAAAGCCTTATCAGAACCAACAGCTACCCATTAGAGTGCCTCTGAGGTCAAGTATGCTAGCAAGAAATTCCCGACAGTCAGAAGTACTCAATGGGAATGATCACTTAGGATTTGGATTTAATAGGCCTTATGCTGCTGGTGGAAAAAAGTTGGCTTTACCAAATGGCCCAGGTGTAACTTCCACTTTGGGTTATAGGATGGTTCATCCCTCGCTACTGAAGTCTAGCCGACCTCCATTTTCTGGCACTATCACAGTTGATGGTAATAAAAATTCACCTGCTGATTCATGTGTAGAAGAAGATGCTGAACTTATGGCTAAGGACAGTGCTACTAATAAGGACCAAGAACTAATTGAAAATGATAGTTATAGAACAGGAAATGACCAGACCATGAAGCATAATGCTAAAATTAGATACCTGAGTGATGATGTGGATGATATTTCCTTGTCGTCTTTGTCATCTTCTGATAAGAATGATTTAAGTGAAGACTTTAGTGATGATTTTATAGATATAGAAGACTCCAACAGAACTAGAATAACTCCAGAGGAAATTTCTCTCAAAGAAGAAAAGCATGAAAATGCACCATCGAGGGATATATTTGATTCCCCCAAGGAAAATGAAAAAAGTAAAACTGACGAGTGGATAGATATAAGTGTCTCTGGTAAATATTAATATTCTTAAGTTTGTTTGCTTTTTCTTAGATAATATAATTGAACTTACATTTAGGATTGCCTTTTGATTAATTCCAAGATACTGTCAATTTTGTGGAGGGATGGATCTAGATAAAATTGGGGTAAGGCAACTTTTATCTTCCTATGACTTTTGCTCCCGGTCTTATTTTTCACTATTTAAAACAACAATAAAAATACTCTTCCCTAATGTATCTTAACTTTGTTCTTCTTTGGCTCTCATGTACAGGCCTATTCCTACTGCTTCAGAATTTTTTCTTTTCCCCCACTTCCCTAAACAGTGGCATGCCATTTTAGACCGTCTCTTCCCTTATGGTAATAGATGCTGTTTGTTTAGAGTAAAGCTGTGCCAAAGGGTAAATGAGCTAATAATAATACAGGTTATGTCCAATCTAATGAATGTTTTTATCCTAGGAAATTTTCATTTTTTTAAAGGAGGACTTAGATTTCATATAGTTATACTTTCAGAGGAACTATATTTTTTTAACTGAGGAAAGTGAGATTAGTACCTATTAAACATTTCCTCTTATACTTGGTCATCCTGGTACTAAAAGTCTGGAGAAAATATATCTTTGTCCCCAGATAGCCTGAAAAAGAGCAAACTGAAGGGATTGGGTGTAGGCATGTGATCTGGTCAAGGGTCTAGGCTATGCCTACTAACACAGTTTAGTTCAACCCACTATTTAGTTTAGTTGATATTGTTTTCATAGTAAAACTTTCTCTTTGAAAAAAGCAGCGCATTGATATAAATGCATAAAAACCCATGACTGTCCGAGGGTCTTCTAGTTAGAAGTGAATGCCAGAACAAGTGTTTCTCTTATGAGGAGGCAACTGCAAGGTTAAATGATATATACAGAGTAAGGAGTTTCATGGCCAGTGTGTAAAAGTAAATATCTTAGGAAATATTAAAAGAATATGAAGCTTTATTTATAATTTTAGAAATATTGCAGAAGTGAAAGATGGCTCCATGAATTTTCTTTTACATAATGTATTGGGAAGCATTTCAGTAGGTTATTTAAGATTTTATCTCTGGATCTTTTTTATTATTTAGGATTTAGAAAATGCTATAGTTACTAATACTTTTTTGCCATTTTTTTGCTATAATATATTAAATTATTAGAATTTATAATTTATTTTTGAGAAATATATTTTTGTGAATTAATAACTTTTTTTTTCTTTTTCTTCTTAAAAAATGAATTGAAGACAGGAGTGAATGTACAAAACATACTTCTGGGAATAACTTGATTTCACCAGATACAGATTACAGAGCTGGTTCTTCATTTGAGCTCTCTCCATCTGATAGTTCTGATGGAACATACATGTGGGATGAAGAGGGTTTGGAGCCCATTGGAAATGTCCATCCAGTTGGGAGCTATGAGTCTTCAGAAATGAACAGCATAGTACGTATGAATTTGTATATTCTTTTGCAACATTTTGTTTACCTTACTATGGAAAGACTTGTGATACTGCTTGGATTTTTTTAAGTTTATAAATAGCTCTCCTAGTTTAAAAAAGGAAATTCATATCTGTTAAGAGCCTATAAAACATCTGACCTTAATACATAATAAAGCGTATATTTGTGTCACGTGACACTTGAGTTAAATACACTCTCATACATTATATACACAGACGTAAATATAAATAGATATGCTGTATTCAGGTTAAGCTAAGCTAGTGGTTCTCAAATTTGGGGAGGAAGGCAACGTCTGGATCTAATTTTGGTTGTCATATTGAGGGGCGCTACTGACAAATAGTGGGAACATGCCAGGGATGCTGCTTAATGCCCTTACAGTGGTATCCACAGCAAAGGATTATCCAGCCCAAGATGTCAGTAGTGCCACTGTTGAGAAATCCTGGGCTAGGCTATGCTGAGGTAACATTTAAGTGCTAACTCAGTGGCTTAACACAATAAAAGCTTATTTTTTACTCTTCCAGAGTCTGTTGTAGGTCTGGGAAACTATATAGGGCAACTTCAGTGTTCTCAGCTGCTTTCATCTTCACCATCACCAAAACAAGGTGGCTTCACCATCTCCTTTTGAGGCCCCATGAAAAAGGTCACTGTTGTAGAGGAAGAATGCTGCTAGGTCTCACATGTGCAATTACTTGCCATGGCCTGCAGATGGCACATGGTACTTTTACTCACAACCTATTGACCCTATTAAGTACTAACGGGGCAAGAAGTGTCATTTTCCTGTGTGCCTGGAAGGCAAGGGAACCAAATATGGGTCAGCACTAGAAGACCTACCATACATTATTATGTGCGTATTTTAAAAGACATTGCATGTAATGTGGCTAATATGCCACATGAGTAAAGTGTAGTTGGGGTGTTTAAAGTGACTCATTGTAATTACTCAGTATATAAAATACAATTTTCCAGTAGTTGTATGGGAAAATTGGTAGTCTTTGTGGATATACTAAATTCCAAGTGGATTTTTTGGAAATGTAATTTTCTATGTTCTCATAAACCTGTGAATTGGAAAAAATAAACATCATTACCAGGGAATTGTTAAATTTCACAGACATAGAGAGGACACATATTTAATTTAGAGAGTATCTCTATCTCATTAGATAAAGGAAGTTTAGAAAAGATTATAGTTTTAGGGCCTTATGTGCTTTCTTACTAGGACTTTTTAAAGCAAGTATGATCAAAGTGGGAGTGAACATTGTGTCCAGCAGATGGCAGCAATAATCCACTTAGTACCTGACATTTTTCAGAGGTTCCCACTATTTTCAGTTCACTGTACCTATAACTTAATGATGCCTCTAAAAGGGTTCAGAATGCACCTCGAGGGGCGCCTGGGTGGTTCAGTCGTTAAACGTCTGCCTTTGGCTCAGGTCAGCCCATGTCGGGCTCCCTGCTGCACGGGAAGCCTGCTTCTCCCTCTCCCAGTCCCCCTGCTTGTGTTCTGTGCTCGCTATCTCTCTGTCAAATAAATAAATAAAATCTTAAAAAAAAAAAAAAGAATGCACCTCGATTGACCATTAGTCTTTAAGATCTCAGAGCTTTTTTTTTTTTTTTAAAGATTTTATTTATTTATTTGACAGAGACACAGCGAGAGAGGGAACACAAGCAGGGGGACTGGGAGAGGGAGAAGCAGGTTTCCCGCTAAGCAGGGAGCCCGATGTGGGGCTCGATCCCAGGACCCTGGGATCCTGACCTGAGCCGAAGGCAGACGCTTAAC